TATATATGTATATGTATTTTCATCATCTAAATATTGATGCAGGAAAATTAGAAGCTGTCCTACAATATTGGCCTCCCATAAGAAAAAATGACTAAGGAATTATTGTTCTTAATTCTTGAAATATGAAGTTATTCATCTATTAAAAACAGAGGTGAAACTATAACCCTTGATCAAAAAAAAATGACAGCTCACAACTTACAAAATCACAATCTACTCGAAATTGCAAATGCCATAATAGATTTTAATTCTGCAACTTACCTGTTACTATGGCTCTCCGGACTGTGCACCTAAGAGATGTTTCTAAGCTTGGGTCTGGCAGCTAGGAGGACCTGGGAAAATATCCTACATATTGAGCCACATGAGTTTACACAGAAGTTGTGTGAGATTTATAGAATTTTGGAGGATGATATTCAGGAGATTGGTCATAGAATTGATAGGGAGAAAGAAATAAGATTCTTTAAAATATTATGACATTTTTGTGTTTTTATAAAATTTGAGTAATGGACTTCTTGTTTTAAATTTACTTCTAGTTTTAGGACTGAGTTTGTCAGCAAGGAGGAAAGGCAAGAAGAAATAAAGATAGAATAATTTTAAAAAGAAAAAAGGAATTATTTTGAGTGTCATGGCAACATTTCCTTTGGCAATATCACCAGGAAAGTTACTGGGGTTTTTGCAGATATGAATCTGCAAATTTTTCAGATTATTTTAGACACCCTAAAGCAGTATAACTCATTAACATTCTTGTCATTAACTAATAAATACCAGATATCCCAAATCACATTCTAATTGCCAGTGCCTTTAGCTCAAATGAAGATGCATTAGACAATTCCATTTATGACATAAAGTAATGCTTTCATGGGAGCCATTTGTATATATTTATTTATGAATTATTACACCAGAGATAATCTGGCCTTTCTTTGGGACTTGATGTTAAGAAGAATTCTACAATATAAATTTTTTTCTATGGATTCTGGCATCAGATTTCCTTTGCTTGGAATTGAAATAATCTATTTGCTTTGCCTTTAACATAATATTTCTTGAAGTCCCAGAGGCCTTCAACAGGCACTGGTACGTTCTTTTTTCAATGAACTGGTCTATATTTTTAAATTTTTCTTCTTTGTGTCTATGAAAGGGAAAATTAATGGAATAATGAAGTGTATTACCAGTAGTGTCTAAATTTTATTTATTGTTACTGATCAGTGTTTCACAGAATGTCCATATGTTTTTGTTTTTTTATTGTTTGTTGGTTTGTTTGTTTGTTTTTTTTGGCAGGGGGAGGAAGCATTTAATTAAATAAGTGAATGTCCTAAGGATAATGAAGACTTATTTCCCTTTTTCTTTTTTAATCTTACTATAGACTTTGTTTGCTCACCAGAGAGACACAGAGAAATAAATAGAGAGAACACCTCTCCTCACACCCCAAAGTGGGGATGGCTACTCCACAGTCTCGTATCTTCTATTCTCCTGTTAGGATTTTGAGCACATACACATGACCAGCATGTTTTTCAAGCAGTACAGGACCTGAATTATGCAGTTAGCCAGATGGAATCCAACACCACTGGCTGGCACTTCATTACCTTTTTCAAAATGGATTGCATGCTTGCACATGCCATTAAATTGGGCTGGCCTGGGATGCATTAGTGTTGTAAGGATCTTGTTGGGGTTGCCTCTATCTCTCTCGAAAAAGAAATAAAAACTAAAATTATATAAAATAATATAGCCTATGAATATATTAATAAATGAGAAAAGAAGACTCACAATATTTCCTGTGAGAAAAATTATCCTGGTTATTGTCTGCAATAACTTGGAAGGGGGACCAACAGATGGCACCAGGGGACTAGCAGATGGCAGAACAGTTACATCACTGGACTCCCACATGGCCAAACATGGTTCAAGTCCCAAACACGGTGGCTTGAAGCTCATTCCTAGCATGTGTGTGTGTGCACGCCTAAGATTCTGGGAGGAGAATGGAGGATATTTCTCACTTTCCCTTTCACTGTCTGTTTTTCACTGGCAAGTGCATGTGCCTTAAGGCAAAAACCTCTATAAAAAAAAGAAAGAAAGAAAAGAAAATGTATCTAGGTAGTTGGTGGTTAAGGAAATGGATTTTCCCACCTGGCTGACTGTGGTTCAAGTCCTAGACCTGGCAGCTTGAAAAAACACGTAAGGCTGGTGTGTGTGTGTGTGTGTGTGTGTGTGTGTGTGTGTGTGTGTTTGTATGCCCATAATCCCAGAAGAATGGAAGAGAAGAGATTGCATCCTGGCCATTCTCTCTGGAGCGATGATTTCTCAATTTTCCTCTCTCTGGTAAGTGCATATGCCCTATGACAAAAATCTTGAAAGGAAGAATGAGAGAAAAGAAAATGTATCTATGAACCTGTGAATCTGGCTAAGCAAGTTTCAAGCAAGCAGTTGACAGTGCTATTTGTCATCTTTTAGCCACAGATGGCATGATACTGTAAGAGAGGAATGAACTAAAGAAAGAATGATTCATTTTTTGAGCAGAATTTAAAGGATATATTTACAATCCAGGAGTTACAAATTTGGAAAAACAATTATTTTTTTTATCAACTCCAGCTGGCAGAGGATTCTCAAAGATTCACTCAAGTAGGGAAAAAAAAAGTACTCAGAATGCTGTCTTGAGGTCAAGGTCAAATCAAGGGTGTATGTTTAAGTTACATTCTTGAGACTTCAGAAATATTTCAAATAGTGCCTAATCATCTCAGCTAGACTAAAGCTCTAGGGTAAGACAATGTTAGAAAAAAAATGGCCTTATCATAAAAACTTATGGGTATTCTATTCAAAAGGGTAAGATTATAATTTGATACACACAAATACCATGAACAATTTTTAAGAGTTGCAGCATCTTAGAATAGACTATACAGAAACCATTTTACCAATATTTGGAATATACTGCTCTGTTTTAAATTGCCATCCAGCCTATTCCTATTCTATACAGTTTAGTATTAACTTCTGAAGAAAAATAAGAAGAAAAAATATTATAGACAACATGTATTAAGCACTTTTTATAAACACTAAGCTTTGTGTTAAGACTTTTTCATGGAATATATCACTTATTTCTGAAAACAAACCTCTGAGTTAATAAACTGTTCAAATATTCGATCCACATTAGATTTTTATCTGAAGCACTTTATCAGGGATGAAGGTGGAGTATTTAAATGATGATATTAAAAGCAACATTATTTTTAAGAATGATATCATAAAGGAGCTTCAAAGTATAATGAGAGGGGAACAGTAAATTAAGAATTTTCCACATAATGGCTATTCACTTAATTAAAGTATTGAGGTAATATAATTATTATTTTCACTTTGAAGATGAGAGGATAAAAGATTGACAAAGAGAAACTGTCTAAAGTCCCACAGAATTTGGCAGATCCAAGATGTTAACGCTGCTATTTCGACTTCAGAGGACCCCACAACTGCACTATTCCCCCTAGGCTGGATCAAATTATAATTCATAGTGAAACACGTGTGATACTCTCACACCTTGTGCATTCAGAACTTCAGCCCCTAACAGAACACATCCCACTTTCTACAAGATTTTGTTGGCTACTTGACCTCAGAAGCAACAGGCTATGGTTGCTCAGCACACACCTAGAAGGGAGGGCTATGGGTTTCTCCTTCCTCCTCGGCCAGAGAGTGGATCCCTTGGTTCCACCCACCACCACATTGCCTTTCTCTGTACCAATCATCTTTATCTAGGTTCCAGATGACAGAGAACAAAGGTCATAGGAGGGTACATTTTATGTGAGGGCTTTCATGAAGCCTGAGGAGGCCCACTGGTTGATGCTGAATAAGACAGAGCTTTAGCTGAACTATCTTACATGTATGCTTTTATTACACACTTGCTTTATAATTTTAAATAATTGCCTATAGAATTTTCTTTTGTCAAAAATAGAAGAGATAGAAAAACTGATGACACTATTTAAAAAAAACTAGATTAATGAAGAGCAATAGCTGAGATCTGAAGCACATACAAAAGTAAAAATAATAAAGTAAGATAAAACCCTAAGTTATGGTTCCCATGGCAACTGCAACACTGTTGGATTTCACTTTCATATTAAGTGAGTTTAACTTGAGTGGAAATGTAAAATGCTTCCTCAGAACCAAAAAGAGAATTATGGAGGACACAGAGACAATGGTCCAGAATATTCTAGTTTTGAAATATGTCCAATATTATCCCTAATATGTGTTATATTTTCATATCAATAGTATATAGTCATTTGGTAGATTTTAAGTTATCTTTGATTTATAAAATATAATGACATAAATGAGAAAGAAGTTCCTATTAAAATGCATTTAATCATGCATGGCCTTGTAATGAAAGAAGCCAGATCCCATATGAGTACAATTCAAATCAGGGCACCAGTAGCTGAAAAGGAAACCTGGGTGTGTGTGTGTGTGTGTGTGTGTGTGTGCTCTAAATCCTGCTAGGATAGAGAAATGGAGGATAAAGGATTGTATTTCTCCTGATCCCTCTATCTCTGTCTCTTTGTCTCTTTCTGGTATGTGCACATGTCCTTTGATAATTAAAAAATATATATGAAGAAAATCTTTTAAATCATAGTTTTTGAATGTATAATTGAGAAATAGAGAGGCATAGTTCTGCTTGTAACCATATAGAAATATTCGCTGAAAGTACAATTTCTTAAAATACAATCTGATTACATTCACTATCACTTGCTCTAAACTTGACATTTTTATTACTGTTGATGTAAACTGAAATTATTAAAATAAATAGATAGTATTTAAGAGTGGGTACACATGTAACGCTTCATGACATTTATAGTTTTTGTATCTTTCTCTATTTCAATAAGATCTTTTAAAAAGGCAGGAAGGGTACTTACTCCTGTTATGTAACGAGGTCTATATTGAATAGTTCCAAATAAACCAAGAATGACGATAATAATATGTACAAAATTTGCCAGGATAGGTGCCCACTGATATCCAAGGAAGTCAAATATTTGCCTCTCCAGCACACAAACCTGGAATAGCAAAACAGGATGGATAGATCAGCACATGTGAGAACCATCACAGTGGAGAGAGAAAAAAAGATCACATCGATGTTACAATTAGCAATTATAATTGCGTTACCATATCTGGTATTTGTTTTAACTAACAGTGAGAATGACATTTTCAGATATTTTTCAAAGGAAGACTATGGAAGCTAGGGGTCCACAGTCAGCTACAATCCTTTCAGAGGCAATTTTGTGCAGGCATCATGCAGTATTCGTAAGATGTCATCTGTGCAGTCACAGGATAAATTACATTGTCATGTGCACTGTCAAACACGTGAAGCCATCAGCCGGCCAGTTAAGGAAGTCTACATGAAGGGTTTGTTGTTAGAATCTGCTCACATATCATTACATAAGTTGGAAATAGAACAGAGGGAGGGAGAAAAAAAAAAGTAGTCTTTAGTGAGAATCCAGGCAAGAATTCTTCAGCAAGACACCTGGACTCTGGATGCAGATCTGCCACTAAACAGCGGTCATGGTCTACGTAAGTCATGTCCCTTCTCCATGCGTCTGTGTCTTCATTTGTGAAATGCAGGAGTTTGACTAGGTATGGGAGATCAGTGTTAGATAAAAAATCAAATACAACTTTTTTGTCATATCCGGTTACCTGTAGTAACCAAGCAAAAGAAAGACCCTACAACAAAATTAAAACAGAGGAAGGCAAAACCAAAACTAAAAGATCACTGTTATAAAAGCAAACCACTTAACTCATTTCTAAATATGCTACTTTCATCTGCACTCACAACTTTGTAATTAAAATATATAAATAAGTAGTAAGGAGAAAAATAAAACCACCAATGAAACAAAAATTATCATGAGCTGAAACTGACTGGTAGACTGAAAGCACCATTTATCTCAAAAAAGTGAGATCTACCTAGCTGAGAAGTTTCTCATTAGATCTAAGAGTAAAGTGGCCTGTCCGTTGTATTCTTCCCGCCTGCCCTCAGGTGGAATGCAGTAGACTGCCTATTTAGAGGAAAACATTATAAAAAGACCTGATGTTCTGCACCAAGATTCAATATTCTTTTCAACCAGGTTTTAAAGGAAAATGATTTCAAAAACCTCTAAGTTACTAACATCACTATGCTTTAATGATATTTCTTGTTCAAAGAACCTACTGACTCTTGAAATAGGCAGTGTGCTTTTAAATAAATTATCTGTAGCTCAGTTTGAAGACTTCTTGAATGATCATTAGACCCACTGCAGTTCTTTCGCCGAACAGCACACTTTCCCATCAGACATTGTAAAAGAAAATAAACTTGTCACAGCTGTTTGCATAACACTACTTCCAAAGGCACACCTTACCATGTAATGACTCTAACAGTCACAGTATGACCTAGTCATATGTTAATTTTCACTGTTTTGACAGTGAACTACAAAAAAAGAAAAAGAATTTTGATCTTTTCTATACTACATATGCTAACTTCATGATACTCATCAGAGTGCGTATAGTGGGACACAATGTTCTGATTGGTTGATAAACATGGACTATCATAGAACTTAAACATAACCTCAGCCCCATAAACTTTGAACTGACTTCTAAAAACAAAAACAAACAAACAAAAAACTTTGAGCTGACTTCTGATGAAACATTCCTTCAACTGATTCATGTGACCGACACTGCATAAATGAGACACATTGATGATGTTAGGAAGTGTTACATATCCTGTAGGGGAATCTATAAATGGTAACCAATACTAAATATACAGTCTCCCCTTATTCATGGGTGTTCCATTTCAAGACCTGCAATAGATGCCTGAAACCACGAATGCTACTGAATCTCATATAATATTGCATTTTCCCCTACATGTATATATGATACGATTTCATTTGTAAATCCGGTGCAGTAAGACACTAATGATGATAACTAATAATAAAATGAAACAATGATAATTTGTTATAAGAAAAGTTATGTGAAGTCATTGTCATGAAAGCTAATTTACTCTCTGGAAATATTACTTACATCTACACAGTTACCATCTATCATCTTAAATAAGCGCTCATCACACACTGTTACCAAAATATTTGCAGTTCAAGGTATGGTAGCAAAATGAGCAGAAATGTCTTCACAATTCAAAGATAGACTTATTCTTACCATAAATTTTACCAACCTCAATATACCATTTTTCACTTTCCTTATTAAGTCAAAAACTTTTACTTTTTCACTTACTAGAAGTATCAAAGCTTCTTCTCTTTGACATACCTAAATTGCCAACATCACCACTCTTGCATTTGGGGCCATTATTAAGTAAAATGAATAATAAATTACTTGGGCCATCCAGTGACATGGTTGTTAAGGTAGCTGGATTACACATGGTCAAGTGTGAGGTAGGATCCTAAACCATCAGCTTGAGAAATATGCTGGGTGCATATACCTGAGGCCCCAAATCCTGAATGAAGGGAAAGTAGAGGGGAAGGGATTGTGGCCTGATCATTTCCTTCCTTCCTTCCTTCTTTCTTTCTTTCTTTCTTTCTTTCTTTCTTTCTTTCTTTCTTTCTTTCTTTCTTTCTTTCTTTTTTTTTGGAGAGGTTTTTGCTATAGGGCACTTGCGCTCGTCAAACAGACAGAAAGAGACAGAGAGACAGAAAGTGAGAAATCTCCCCCCAGGGGGGATGGCCACACCACATCCCTTCTCCTCCATTCTCCTCTCGGGATCTTGGGCATGCACGCACACGCACCTGGCGTGAGTTTAAGCCACCGGGTCTGGGACTTGAACTGTGGTCAACTACGTGGGAGTCAAGTAACATAGCCATTATGCTAACTGCTGGTCCCGCGGCCTGATCATTTCTGATGTGGAATATTTTCTCACTTTCTCTCTCTCTCTCTTAAGTGCATGTGTCTACTGGTAAGTTAAATAATAATAATAATTATAATGGCTTACCTGAACACAAATACTCTTAATACCTCCACAGCAGCCTGATAATTCAGACGGCTACCAAGTGACTGACTGAAGGTTGAGGGTGAATACAGTCTAGGTACGGTAGACAAAGGGATGATTTGTACAATGGGAGGGCTGGGGGCTGGGGGGCTGGGGTGTAGGTGCAGTGCATGACTGCAACAATTTAAAACTTGTTTATTTCTTAAATTTTCTGTTTATCATTTTCAGACCAGCATTGATTGTGGGAACCCAAAACCGTAGAAAATGAGATCTGGGACTACTGCAGTGTTCTGAGGACACATTGCTAATTATCTATCTTAAAGCTCATTCCAAGACAGATGTCTATTGTTCTTATCTTATGGATAAATGCAAATAGGAATGGAAAACAATAGGAAAAATCTAAATTCAAAAAATTTTGAGCATCGCAATTGTGCGGGTTTCAGCGAGGAAAAACTATAGAGCACATCTGTCAAACAGTGGCAAATCAGAATTAATGCACCACTTATGCAAGAAAATAGCAGTATCATCATTAATTGTAAGAACATACATAGGTGATAATATAACTGCTAAGTTTGCAAAGCTAAATTGAAATTCTATCAACATTTATCAGGCTCTGCTGAAGACAAAATGAATAGTTTCTTGCATGGTTATACAGACTGAGGAGATTAATATGTAATTCTTCACATATGGCATTTTTATTTCCTCATTTTGATTGGTCCTGCATGCCATTATAAGTAGCTTTTTCATAGGTTCTGCAATTTGAAGCTAGGGCTGAAGAAAGGAAGATATATGTATTTTTTTAATTTAGGGAATAAAAGAGGAGTAACGTTTTATAGAGTAAGTGGATTTTTTTTGTTGTTGTTAAGAACTCCTGGGAGCAGTAGATAGCATTGTGGTTACATCGTTGGATTCCCACATTGTCAATAACGATTTGAGTCCTAGACCCAGCAGCTTAAACGCATGCCAGGCTTGTGTGTGTATGTGCCCAAATCCTGAGAGGAGAATGGACGAGAAGGGATTGTGTTGTGACCATCCCCTCTGGGAGTGATTTCTTGCTTTCTGTCTCTCTGTCTCTGTCTTTGCAGTGAGCACACATGCCCTATAGTAAAAACAAACAAACAAACAAACAAAAATAAAAACAAAAAACACAACAACAAAAAACTCTCATAAAAAAAAAAAAAAAGAATTTCCTCTGGAAGGAG